CTGTCTCTTCTCTCTGTCTCTCTCTCTCTGTCTCTCTCTCTCTCTGTCTCTCTCTCTGTCTCTCTCTGTCTCTCTCTCTGTCTCTCTCTCTCTGTCTCTTCTCTCTGCCTCTCTCTCTGTCTCTCTGTCTCTGTCTCTTTCTGTCTCTCTCTGTGTCTCTTCTCTCTGTCTCTGTTCCTCTCTCTGTCTCTGTCTCTCTGTCTCTCTCTGTCTCTCTCTCTGTCTCTCTCTCTGTCTCTCTTTCTCTGTCTCTCTCTCTCTGTCTCTCTCTGTCTATTCTCTCTGTCTCTCTGTCTCTCTTTCTCTGTCGCTCTCTCTCTCTCTCTCTTTCTCTGTCTTGCTCTATTTATATTACTGCTTCAGTCGCGCTGTCTCACTTCGTCGTTGTTTCTCCTTTCTCTCGCTGTCTCAGATTATGTAGATGGATAAATTCATACGCACAGGCAGGTAAATATATATATATATATATATATATATATATATATATATATATATATATATATATATATATATATACACGCCCGGCTCTCTAGCGTAGTTGGCTAAACCGGATTGCGCGGAGACCGGGTGACGAACTCCTTGTGGTCCGTGTTCAATCCCGGGGGTAGGCAGGAAAGCCACATTTCTCCCAGATTTACGGTATTTACAATGAAATCAAGGCCGAAAGGTTGCGATATCCAAAATACCGAGCCTAAGGGTTAACAACTCATGGCTTCTGGATACTAAAACAAAACAAAAAACAATATACATACACATACATACACACATATAAACACACACACACACGTTGATTGAGATCCTGACCGACGAGATAGACACATAGACATATCAATCGAACGAATGAACAAACTACTACTACCACTACCACTACCACCATCACCACAACTTCCACTACTACTACCACCAATATCACTACCACTGATACCACCATCACCACCACTACTACTACTTCTGCTACTACTACAACAACTACTATTACTTTTGCTGCTGCTGCTACTACTAGTTCTTCTTCTTCTTTTCTTCTTCTTCTTCGTTTTCTTTCTTCTTCTTCTTCTTCTTCTTCTTCTTCTTCTTCTTCTTCTGTTGCTGCTTCTGCTGCTTCTGCTGCTGCTACTGCTTCTTCTTCTTTTTTTTTTCGTACGCAACAGTGCACACGGGCGTCCGATCTCACTACCCAGAGACCGGGGGAATTACTAGAAGTTCATGTCCACGTGAAGAAATCCAAGCCCATACCGGGGATTGAACCCGGAACCTCTAGCACTCGAGACTGACACCATGCCCTGAGACCACACAGCCTCCCCCCTTCCCCCCTTTGTGTAAAAATCGACTGATTAAGGAATATGTTAACACCAAATGGCAAGCTGTAAATAATCCCACAGCATGCCAGTCGTCCTTTTAAGTGTCATTGCAGGAGAATAAGTGAATGGAACAAACGAACGAACGCACTATATTTTTTAAGAACCACAAATTAGGCACTCAGTCCCGTCTTACATTCTGCCCTTCCAAACACTTATCTTTCGCACAGCAGTTATATTTAATGGTTAAAGCATGTTATGTTCATGTAATAATTTGCATATTGAAATGTATAGATGAAATTCATAAATGAAGCGACAGGTGGGTTGTTAAATGAATTAATGTATGGCTGATTAGATAGGTGAGGAGATGGATAGTTAAATGGTTCGACGCAGAGATGGATTGAGTGCATGATTTAATTGATGGATTTGTTTATTGATAATTGGAAGGATGGACGAATGGATGATCAAGTAGTTGGATGAATGTATATTATGATTTATGAGTGGAGAGATAGATGGATAGTTGGAAGCATTATTAGATGTGTAGATGTGGCTGGATGAATAAATAATTGATTCAACGAATTAACGAATTATTTGATGGATGAATGGACTGGTGAATGTATGGCTGAGTGAATGAGTATATTTTTTTTAAGTATCCAGGAACCATGAGTAATTAACCCTCTAGCTCGGTGCCATTGATATCGCAACCCTTCGGCCTCGATTCCATGATAGGTACCGTAAATCTGGGAGAAATGTGGTTTTTCTGCCTACCCCCGTCACCCGGCCGCCGCGAAAGTCAGGTTTAACCAACCACGCGAGAGAGCCGGGATGAATAGATAAATGGATGGATTGAAAAGTGGAATGCATTATCGATAAGTGATGAATGACTGAATGGACGAAGGGATGGATGGATAAATGAGTGAACAGATGGATGGATGTGTAAATAGACTGAATCATCGGCATCATAGTTATCTTAGTGACAGTCATCAGTAAGTCAGTCGGTAATTTATGAAGACGATCATGACTTGTTACAGCTTTTGATCTACGATAAGTAAAAAAAGTAAAGGACCCTTTTCCACGCCTTTAGGCGTATGGGGCATATAAGGAATATAGGGCTAGACCTATATTTTTTTTAGACCAACGACACAAGATGGGGGATGTGGTCACGCCGGCTGCCTCTACTTCCTGGGACTGCACCCGGTACCCAC